ATGCTTGGTGTTATCTAATGCCTTTGATTCTATCAACATTCTTGTTCTAAAAACACTCTTATTATAATACTTCGTTCCTTATAAAAGGAATATTTTAATTCATGAGATTTAATTCTAAATCTACCTATTAAACGTGTTGAGTATTTAACCAAATGGCTGTAGGGAAGTCAAATTAATTACAAATTATAGTCCATGTTAACATTCATTTATATTTATATGTATGATCAATTTAAAAATTATGCTTTAAGTTATACGTACCTTTAAAAGCAAGGTTTGGTTATATAAATAACAATTCATAACAATGGAGAATAAGAGAATTAGCTTTCATCAAATATAAATCATATTTTGTCATTTTACTGACATTCTATAACTAAAAATTATTTTATTGGGAGAAAATAAAAACCTTTAAAATCAAATATTCCAGGTGAATAGAATAGAAATACTGAGGAGCTATAAATGTATTATTTCTGCTGGTTTAGATAACACTCTTGATATGAAAATATGTAGAGCAAATTTTGGCTGATCACCGGCTGAGTATATCAACAGCAAACTTTTCACTATTGGGCACCACTTAAATCTTTATTGCACATATTTTACTACAAAAAATGTTCAATTACATTTTTTTCTGATTGTTACCACCTACCCTTTTCGTTAAAACTTTAAGCTATAGCATTACAATCTATAAATATACAGTTTTCCAAATAACTGCATTAATATTTCTACATCAATTAAATTCATTGAACAAATAAATAATTTAAAGTCTATTTAAGATTATGAAAGCATGTGTTTTCCACATTGGCTTTTATTTAAATATTTTCTTTCATGTTTCCTGTGTAAACTCTGGAAGTAGGGAGCTGGAAGGAATATACTACTTTCGCATTAGTGTCACCCGGCCTTGGAGAGTAGCATGAACACAGCTCCAGCGAGTCACCATTTTGAAGATGGGCCAGATGTGTGGCAGTATTATGGTGGGCAGGGAAGTCTCAAAATAACATGCTACAATCTGCCTGTGACTCATCAGCATATGTGCATGTGTGTGTGTGTGTCCCCAAGCAATGTTTTCGGCCAAATGGTGCTTAAAAATACTGACAATATTTTACCTCAGCTTGAATCTTGTGATTATCAACTGTGGATTTTCAAGAAAGATGCAAAAAGGCAAATGACTAAAAGCGTACATAACTAATTGTAGTCCTCAAGGACTAGGAGCAGTTAACTAGGGAGCACAAATTGGGAGTATTGCTGCATTAACTTAAATAGGACCCTGGGAAGTAACCATTTAAAAAATATATATTTGTTGAACTGGTGTTGTAGTTAGATAGTGGAAAGACAAGCATTTGACTTTTTATTCTTTCTACCATTGTTTTCATCTTCTCTATAATGATGGGCTACTATGCTTTTCTGGGATTACTCAAAGATATCAAAAAGACATTATCCTCATTTCCCAATCTAGAGTGCTAAAAAGACATTGGCGTCACAGACACATATAGATAGTAGAGCATTTCAAAGATAGAATGATGGATTCACTTTTATAATTTCCCAAGCTCTTTAATGCTGTGATTTTACCATATTAGGAAAGAGCTTTATTTTCCGTGTTTGATTGACATTTTCACTCTGTGTCTTCACTTTTTAGGGGAAGTTATTGGCAGAGGTTAGGAGTGGAATTATGGCTTTCACCAAATAATTTTGAGGTCATCCTTCTTCTATGGGTGTGTGGGGGTGGTAAAGAAGAAGGATCTTGATGAAGCAGATTAAATTTGAGGCTCAAATGCTCGTTTTAGAAAACAGGGAAAATGAGGGGAGTAGATGTGGAGTAAAAGACGTGGAGCATCTTTTCTGAGATGCCTGTGATGCTGCAACAGGCGGGACACTCTCCTTTCCTCCTTCTAAGGGTGGTGGTGTGCACCTTCAGAGTGAAGAAGGGTCAAATGTATTTTGCTCAGAAAATCCAATGCATTTTATTTATTTGTTAAAATGTAATAGTCAAATAGATCATATAATCATATACTTCAAAATTCAAAAAGTATAAAATGTTATACAGCGAAAACTCTTTGTCTCGCCTGGACCTCCCGTCGCTTAGTTCCTCTTCTGAGAAGCAACAAATGTGATTAATTTCTTCTGTATCTTTCCAGAGATATTTTATATTTTTCCAAGCAAATTTGTATGTATAAATATTTTTTCTTCTCTTTTACGTAAATGGTACCATAACTTACCAACTGTTCTGCATCTTGCTTTTTCACCTAATACATGTTAAAACTCTTGCCTTATTCATATGAAAAAGGAGTCCCCATTCTCTTTTTCTGGTTGTATGGTATTCCATTGTGAGGATGCACCATAAATTATTTAATAAGTTGACTATTGGTAAATATTTAGTTGCTTCCAGTCTGTTGTTCTTATAAAGATGCAAGAAGCCTGTGCATTGCTTGTAAGAATGTAAAATGGTGCAGTCGCTGTGGAAAACAGTTTGATGGTTCCTCAAAAAGTTAAACATAGAATTGCCATATGACCCAGCAATTCCACTTCTAGGTATATAACAAAAAGAATTGAAAGCAGGGACTCAAACAGATACTTGTGTACTGATGTTCATAGTAGT